TATAACTGTATCTTGAATATGTTTTGGTAAACAGCTAAAATAACAGAACTTGTGTCAGTGTCCAAATATATATGGACCTAACTGTATCAGCTGTTTATCTGCTTTTTATGTTCCAGGTGCACACTTTCACTGATGTCTGCTGGGACAAGTGCGTGGACAGTCCAGGCTCAAAGCTGGACTACCGGACAGAGACGTGCCTGCAGAGCTGCGTTGAACGTTTCATTGACACCACCCTGACCATTACTAACCGCTTCACGCAGATGGTGCAGAAGGGCGCTCATTAATAATGGACTAAAGATGCCAACAGGACTGTGTAATGACATAGATAAAAATGTATTCCTTACGTGTTGCTGGAAGATATTGTGAAGAGGACATGTTTTTTATAACTTACTGTTTTAAGTTTTTGACTTGTGGTCCTAACTGGAAACTCTGGTTGTAGCTGCAAATGGCAGCAAGAAGTATCATGTAATGTGACAATAGTAAAGTGACACACAGTACGCTCACACTCAATGTCCTCAATCTGTGATCCTTCATGTACTTAACAAAGAATAGAATGAAGCAGGAAAGATTCCAGCCATGGTGGCTCCACTGTTTGGAGGACAGATCTGGGTTCAGTTCATCACTTTGAGTGTGTCATACAGAAAAAGGTGTACTGATCAAAATGTAGGAAAAAGACAACATTAACAAATATTTATTCCCAAAAACTGAAATCATAAATACTAAAAACACACAAAAAAATATTATTCAGACACTTCCTCTGTTCTTGACAGACAAAGAACTTATTGAAGTAAATTTATTGTGATAAAATTGAAACTATAAATAAATGCTGTATGAATACAAAAGAACGAATACTGATTAATATACACAAAAACCCACTAGAGGTCAGTATTATGATGTTCATCTTTTCATCTTAGCCTTATAAGAGAGTGCAGTCTCTAGAGAATAGTGGTACAAAATGCTTGGGCATTATCTTAGGGGCCGTATGGAAATGTATTGGGGGTGAGGGCAGGGAGCGATTGTGAGATTATTTTAGAAAGGAATCAATATCAAATATCTCCATCCAAACAGTTGCAAAGAAATGGCCTTTGTGTGCACTGTGGGTATATAAAGGTGGGCTTTGCCATATGCAGGTTGTCATTTCACTGGACTGGATGATGGATGATGATGTCCACTCCTTTAGCAGTGAGTTCTTTGGTGACAGAGCAATCCGATCCTGGACCCACAAACTCTGTTACAGGGGGGCCGTGTGTATGTGGTGATGGTGGTGGCATCCATGGCTGCCCTGGCTCTCTTCTGCTGTCTTTTGGTTCCCCTCTCCATCTCCAGCCTACAATCCCTACACAGCTGCCGCCAAGTGTTACAGTTAGCACGGTCTAGATCATGTAATGTGATTCCCCAAGGTGTTCTTAATCTTGTCCTTGTAGTGCTTCGCATACTGCAGCTCCAGAACCTGTTCCTTGCGGAGTTTGGTAGTTGCATGGAGCCTTCTGATGTTGCCATCTAATCTGCCACTGCTGTCCTCAGTCTCATTGTGGAGAAGCTTGGTGACACATAGGAGGAAGATGTTAAAGAGCACTGGTGCTAGCACACACCTCTGCCTATCCCCTGTGTGTACAGGGAAGGGTTTGGACTCTTGTCCACCTGTGGTCTCATTCCATCGTGGATATTAACAAAAACAAAAGGTCCACACCCATTAGGAAACACAAACTTCCACCTCATGAGATTATTATGAGAGCTGTCCAGTCTTCTCCTAGTGACAAACCGTGCCACATCCAACCAGGGAACTGGGCCTGAATCAGAGCGTTCTAGAGGAAAAACGCCCTGTAACAAGTCCTGCTTATCAGCAACACAGCAGTGTAAAGGTCGCCCTACTTTGACACCTCCTCCATGATGCAGCAGAAAATTGACTGAATCCCTCTTTATCCTGTGGGTTCTGAATTAGGAAGTCCAGGAAGGACCTCCTTCCCAGAAAAACAACGCAGGACCCAGTGTCCCAGAAGAAGACGTAGGGGAAATGTTGGAAACAGGAATTCATTATACGTCTACATTAATTAATGCATTAAATAGCTTAGCATACATTGCTTAAAGTCCCCCTCCTGTCAGAAATCAGTTACTTCTTGTTCCTACAGTTGGATCTTTGAGCTTCTCTGCACAGAAGGATGTATGTGTAGAGTTTGACACTAGAAGGATGTTATCACATTCATCTGCTGAAAGTGGAAAGTTTCTCTGAGCTCATTGAAAATCTGATTTTAACTTGAAGCCACCAGTGCACATCCACTGAGAATGGACTTTACAGTGAAGTAGGAGACATCTTCTGCTTCCGCTTCTGTCCACAGTGGCTGCCAGAATCAACAAAATTAAAGTTCCTTGTAGGTCCTTTTAAGTATGTTTTGTGTCAACTTACAGCTCTAATTCAGTTTTATTCTGGTAGAAAGTCGTGGAATATCCTCTGAAACACAGCATACACCACCAATAAAACTCTGCAAACATAATCATAATTAAATAATACATAATCATAATTAAATAATTACATTTCTACTGATGATTATCTTTGTAGGATCTGACCAAGGGCTGCCAGCAGACAGTCCTACTGCTGATCAGTCGATATGTATGTAATCAATAAATATGTACATAACACAGAAATGTACATCATATCAGACTGAATATGAAGGGACATAATTAAAAAAAAAAGTATTTTTTAATTGTTAGATATCAAACTGTAAGGCCATTGATGTTTTTAGCTGCTCTGAGTGCAGACTTCATTGCAGTTTCAATCCACCCATGC